AGCCTCCCTTGGATAAATTATTCAGGTGATGCTCACTGGCCTTTGAGCCTGTGCTTGACATGCAGCTCCTCTCTTTCCTTCCTTCCCCTTTGCCACTGCTGCTCTCTTCCTCTGCTCAAGACTCCACAAGTGGATTCACCCAGAATTCATGATCAGGAGTACACATGGATGAGCTGGCTGATGCCCCAGCTTTGGGGTGTCAGTACTCAGCTCAGGGTATTACCTACCACGGCCGCCCAGCAGCTCCACATCCTCCTGGCCAGGTGTCAACATTCTTTCCTTGAATTAACCTGAGAAGACAATAGCCCTGAGCTCACAGCACAACAAGTTATTTCTGAGCAAACTGGAAAAATAAAAAAATTTAAAAGGCCAAGAAATGTCATAGAGAACCTTAAAAGGCTACATAACATATGAGTCCAAGTATATGACATTCTGGAAGAGGCAAAACTATGGAGACAGTAAAAGATCAGTGGTTGTCAGGGGTTAGGGCTGATGGGGAGGATTGGCTAGGTAGAGCACAGAGAAATTTTAGGATTTGAATATTGTCTTATGATACTGTAATGGTTGCTACATGTCATTATATATTGGTCCAAACCTATAGTATATACAACACCAAAAGTGAACTCAAATGTAAACTGTGGATTTGGATGATTATAATATTTCAATGCAGGTTCATCAATTGAAACAAACGTACCATTCTGGTTGGAAGGTGTTGGTAATGAGGACTCTAAGCACGTGTGGGAGGTAGGACGTGAATAGGCAATCTCTGTACCTTCCTCTTAATTTTGCTGTGAACCTAAACCTACTCTTAAGAAAAGTCTTTTAAAAATGTAAAAATCAGAGACTTGAAAAGTCGGATCAAACATCACAGGAAAAAAAAAGGCAAAATCAGGAAAAAAAATGTGGTCAATCATTAGCAGAGAGTTTGAAAAGACACGCTCCAATTGCTTTAAAAATTTACAGAACCCAGGTCTCCTTAAAATAGTTTTGCAAAGTACATCGAGAATTCCATGCAGTAATATGAAACATAAGTCCCACTGCTGCCACTGAACATGCTTCAGCTGGCTAAACTGAAGGAGCTTGACATTAACCCAAAGCTCTGCGAAACTCAACAGGAGAGTGCAATGTAGACGCAGTTGCAAAGCTGCCCCAGATGTGTACATTTTCTGCTCCATTAACATGACTTGGAAGAGAGGGAAAGTACATTTGGCTCACAGAAAAAGAGTCAGAGAGGGGTGAGACAGGACAGTCAGCCTTATCATAGGCCTCCTTCTCCCCAGATGTGTGTCCCCTCCAGTCCTTCCTCACGGTGCTTCTAGAGCATACCATCTAAACTGTACGTATGACCACGAGCCTTCCAGGGTCCCTAGAACCAAACTACTTTGCCATAAATCTCAGTTTTCTCAGCTCTATCATGGTGTCAATGATACCCACTTTCATGGAATTAATAATACGCACTTCAAGATTCAGTGTGAAACTGATTGTGATCTTATATATACAATGCCTGGCAAGCACAATTTACATTAAGCTCTGGAGGAGAAGTAATTATCACAATTATCATCACCGAAACCAGGTCATTGAGGAAAGGTAAAGTGAAAAGTGAAGATATCTGAGCATAAGACAAACAAGAACCTGGGGAGATGGGATTCCAAATTTTTTCAAATCTGGAGGGCAGATAACAAGTCTCCGTGAAACTATATGGCAGCGACAAGGTAAACGATTCTACCTCAGTGAAAATAAGACAGACCTTTCTAATAGTTAGTAGTGTCTAAACGTGAAGGGGTGGCAGGAAACTTCCTGACATTAGAACTGCATAAAAAGTGTTCAGACGACCATTTGGCAGGAATATTAAAGAGGGGATTCAACAGTGATTTGATGGAACTTGACGTTTTTGACTGCCTCTTTAAGTCTGAAATCTGTATTTTTGACCTATCCTCTCTTGCCAATCAATGAATCATCAACATCTTGAGTTTCTGGTATGTATAAAGCCTGGGGCCATGGTGTCAAAGATGAGGTACTCTGACTCAGTTTTACCACGCTGAAGGAGACACAGTTCAGCACAGAGTAAGTTCTCCACGAAGCTGTGTCAGTAGACACACACAAGAAACAGAAACTGATGTCTTTCTATTGTTGTCCCAAGAAGTCTCTTTGAGGGTCCTGTGCCTACGTGGAATCCAGTCTGTGCACCTACAGTGCAAAATGCATTCAAGTCCTTATTTACCCTGATGGCATCCTCTTTTTCATCTGTTCTTGTCTTCTTTCTGGGTTCCTAGGAAATAGAACTGCCCCCTTATGAGAATGATTTACGCTGACTTGGGTAGAGAATTTGTTTGAACCTGAGGGTGCAGTGACATTTACTATGTTCCTGAATGTTTCTGTTTTACAAGGAGTAGAACCAGTGCTCTGCCCTCTGGTCCCTGGGAATGGGAAAGACAGAGGTGGAATTCAGTTCTAACTCTGAAAATGAGAAACAAACTTTTAAGAAAAACCATGCAAGAGTTTTGTTATTCATGTTTTCTGTGTCTTTCTTTAATACAGTTGTCCTGTGAACATTTACTCTCCAGCCCAGTGCTAGGTGTCTGGGCGCTGAAGTTGCTCAGCTCTTGTTTCTCCTCAAAGACCTCTTATTCTGGTGAGCAGAGATTAAAAGGGCTAGGGCAAAATGCTATAGAGGAAAGAGATGGCCTGTGCTGGAGGAGTGTGAGTGGATGGGGGAGGCTTCATAAAGGAGATGACGATGTGTGAGCTGATTTTGGGGGGTAAATTGAGGTTACCATGCATGGGGGGAGGAAGAACTTCCCAGGATGAGGGCAGAGCACACACAAAGGCTTGGGACCCTGCTTAAAAAAATGCTATCTTGGGAAATGTCGAATAGCTTATGTATCTGTTGGGAAGGTGGTAAGAGATGAGAATGGCAACATATTTTGGAGTCACCCCCATTTAGATGCAGAGAGAAGGCTGGTCACGGCACCATTTGAAATTATTTTGCGAATGTAAACTTGAGCTTCATGGACTTTGATTAACCACGGCCAACTCTGCAGGATTCATCTTGTGGAATTATCAGTCTTGGTACACATTACTTCTCCTTGACCACCGTAGGAATATATTCTTCACATGAAAACTCACTTAAGATCAGTCTGAAGAAATCATAATCATGAAAGTAAATCTGCTGGAACAACTCGGTGGCACATATATGAGTGGGTTGCTTTAAGGAACTTGATCTGATATGACATTTGGATCTGGGAGCTATGTGTGGATGGGGTTCGCCTATATAATTTACTCCCTAGCACAAAATTGGGGTTGAGTGGATTTATCTGTTTCATCGTCAGAACAGCTGATATGAAATGTGAGCAGAGTGCTTTGATCTCATGTTAAAGGTTTTCTGATTTTTATTGTGGAAAATATGAACGAATACAAGGAAGAACAAAATCTACCATTAAGAAAGTAAGAGAATCACTATTAACATTTTGATGCATTTATTTTGGGTTTTCTTATTGAGTAGAGTTGATTACAATGAATTTTTTTTAATATATAACATCAAGTTGAGTCTGCCACCTCCTTTAACATTTCTGCATGAGAACACTTTTCTCACTGTAATGTCATTTATTTACTTATACTTTTTTAATCCTTCTAGATTAAACTGCAAAGGTTAGGAGGAAGGGGAAGATGTGTTAGTCACACAGTAACATAATTTTGGCACTGAAATCCAAAGCTGAGAGTCAGGTTCTGATGCTCTAATACTGCAAGGCCCAGGAATCTAGGTGTCTGCCTCTCTACTACCAGTGCTTAACCCAGAATCTGGCATGTAGTATGTATCCAATGGATAGTGTTGGTTGCTTGAATAAAAGAATGAATGGATGGATGGGTGAATGTGAATTTTTATATATTATTACTCTTCACTCAAAATTTATTGAGTTCCTGCCAAGTGCCAGTTCTGGGCTAGGGAAAGGGAACATAAGTAGCTGTATTTGACACAAAGTCCACGTCTCAAAGGCACTCCTGTGAGAGTGCTGACACCCTCTGCTGTGGGATAGGGTTCCCATGAGTGCAGAGCCCAGGCAGTGCTCTTTGGCTGGTGCTCAGAGCTTCTCTGGTGGGACCCTGTCCCCTGCAGGCTTTCTTTTATCTGAAGACAGAGCAAAGACTGTTTTTCCGGGGGGTACCATTCCTGAACTCCTCAAGATGCTCCAGGTCCTGGAGCAGAAACACCTGGTCTTGGACCTGCCTTCCCCAGGGTGTCCCTTCACTCCCTGCTTCATGCCAACTTGTCCCAGTCCAGTGGCAGACATGCTGTAGGGGGGTACCTCAATGGAGTAAGACTGTAGGGGAGAGGGGGCCACTGCTCCCTCAGATGAGAGCAGCCTTTGACAACCCCTCCAGCTGGCCCGACTGGAAATCCCAGATAAGCCCAGTTCTGGTCAAAACTGGTTTGGCAGCTCTGGGGGAATGTTTCTGGCTGACTGACCCTCTCCACAGCGGGAGCTGGCAGTTTTGCAAAAAAAAAAAGAAAAGAAAAAGAAAAAGCGGGGGGTATGGGTGGGGGCGGCTAAATTTAAAACACTCCAAACTTCTGTTCACTTGCAAGTGCAAGTTTACACGTTGGGATTCAAACAAGATTGCCCCCACCCACATCCTCACCCGGCATTCTCCCTCTCGCTCACTCTCCTCGCCTTTGCAGTGCAGTTTTGTTGCAACGCGATTTGTTTAGCAGCGCGATTGTGGAAACAAAATAATCCCATCCGCAGCTCGACTTTTAGTCCCGCATTTGGTCTGCAATGCGATTGTTATTATTATTATTGCAATTGAATCTCTCAGCCCTTTCTCCTGCCCACTGAATCGCGCTCCGGCTGTGATTGCTCGGGTCTGACTTTGCGAGTGGCGGTGCGCTTCCAAACCCCCCTCAACCACCCCGCGTCCCCCTTTCCCCCCTCCCTCCCTATTCCGCGCCCAGGCGAGAGCAGCCGATTGGCAGAGCTGTGCTTTCAGGAACAATAACAGTGGGGGGAGCCTGGGTCCCGGGAAGCCGCCCCCGCCCCCCAGCCCGGCCGCGCGGCTCGCGCCCCCCGCCGGGTCCCCACCTCCGCGCCCGCCCCGCGAGCCGACCGGCCGACCGGGGCCCGCCCCCGACGCCCACCATGTACGCCTTTGTGCGGTTCCTGGAGGACAACGTCTGCTACGCGCTGCCGGTGTCGTGCGTGCGCGACTTCAGCCCCCGCTCGCGGCTGGATTTTGACAACCAGAAGGTGTACGCCGTGTACCGGGGCCCGGAGGAGCTGGGCGCCGGGCCGGAGAGCCCCCCGCGCGCCCCTCGCGACTGGGGCGCGCTGTTGCTCCACAAGGCCCAGATCCTGGCGCTGGCAGGTGAGCGAACGGGCGGGGAGGGGAGGTGGGACGCTGGCGGCGGGGGGCCGGGACCCGGGGAGGGGCCGGGCGTTGGGGCGGAGGGGACCGGGAGGAGGGGAGCCACTGCTTGCTCCTGCCTCCTCCTCCTGTTCCCTGGGCTTTTCTTTTGGGAAGGGGTGTCTCTGCGAGTCCAGACCAGTTAAAAAGACCAGATGGTCTTTGTTTTCCCCGCTCCCCAGCACTCCCGCGCTGTCAGTCTGTCCTCATCTCTTCGTCAGTCTGTCCTCTTCTTTCTGATTCTTTGTGTTCTCCTCCACCTGCACTTTCCTTTTCTCCCCCGCATGTTTGTACTGTCATTTCCCTCTCTTCACCTTCTTACCTCTCTTCCCGTTCTTTCCCTCTTTGCCCCTTTCTGTCTCCTAAGTTTCTCAAGCTGTCTCTCTCCCTTTAAGGCCCTTGGTACCTTCTTGGAATGAGGAGCACGGCGCATATTGTCAGATCTTCTAGGTGGGAGTCCCTCCTCGCAGAGGGAAGCTATGACATCCTTGTCCTATCTGGGCCATCATTGGACAGGATAAGGAGGCCCTGAACCTCTGCACTGGGCTCACTCTCGTGCCCCTCCCTGGCCAAGTGGCAGAGGTAGGGAGGCAGAGGCCCTGAGGCATCCCTAAGCTTCCTCACCCCTTTCTCAACCTCCCAGAAGCCTCCCTGAGTGAGCGCTGGGGGCCAGGAAAGGGTTTCTAGGTCAGAATAGGATGGGACCTTCCATCCCTGCTCTCCATTTGACAGATGAGCATACTGAAATCAGCCTTTCTTCCTCCTATACTTCAGTTCTTTCTGCCATGCTGAAGCACCTTTTCCTTTGTAAAGACAAGACACCTGGCCCTCTTTCCAGCTAGGCTTGGGTTCAGGCATGCAGGGAAGTGTAAAGTATCACTTCCATTTTGGGGACCAGCCTGTCAGCTGCTGCTGGTAAGGAGAATGTACCTTAGAGTGGGCAGAGACAGCAGATCACTGTGCCCTCCACCTGGAAAGGAACACCAAGGGTTAGGAACTGAATGAAGTCACTGTCAGTACTTTGTAGTTTTGAGACCTTTCCTATATTTTTCAAGTGCTTTTGCTTCCTCACATGGAGCCTAAAGGATGGACTGAGCATTCTTTCAACTCACAGTGACCTGCCCAGTCAGTGTCCCATGCAAGTTAGCAGTAGGTTCCTTTCAGCAACCTCACTTGCCTCTGACAAGTAGGCTTGCAGGCATTGAAGGGTGAAATAACAAGAAACTGATCAACAGCACTAAGGCCCTTTTTGAGGGCTATATCCTTACACCAGACGTCTGGACCAGAAAAACAGAGTGAAGGGAAGTAGGTTTTACAAATAGAAACTCTTTGTAGTTGATTATATTTTGTTTGTTTGCTTTTAATTACCTGAGGGAGGGGATTAGGAATTTATTCCCCAAGAGGATAGGATATTATAACTAGGTTAGAGCTTAGCTTCCCTTTTGCTAGAAGAAAGCATGCTTTCTGACAATTGGGTCATACTCCTAAATCCGGAAAGGTCCTAAGACAGTGGAGGAGATGCACATCAGAGAGAGTCAGTGGTATGTGTCTGAGTATGTGATGGCTGTGCTCCTGACTTAGAGATTGTTCATTCATACACTCATCCATTCAGCAAATACATGCACTGTGCTGCTTCTAGTACTGCAGAGAGGCCACTTGGGCTCATGGCACCTCCCGCCAACTCTGATTTTAAAATCAACACGAGTCACTGTATGTAAGACATATTGGTCTGAGAACCGTGAATTTTGAACCTAGAGACTGTTCATCCTCTAAGTTCAGATGTTGATAAATCTCCGAGTTCATTTAAAAAAATAATAAATTAACACCTAGGCAATATCTGGAAATTAGCAGAGTCGATTCAAAGAAGTGTGGTGTCAGTTTGAGTAGTTGAAAAGCACTTTCCCTCACCTCTCTTCGATTTTTTTCTTGAGAGGAGAAATGGAAAAAAAAAAAAAAGACAACAAGTTGAAGTTGGCTAGGCTACATTTTGAATTTCAATTATCTGGTTAATTTTTAAATTGGAGCAGCTGCCCTGGCTGCAGACCTGATTGGAAGGGCCAGGGTGAGTTTGGGAATTCATTTATCCTGGAAGAACTCTCCTATGTGTCTGGGAACCCCATCTTGCCCTAAGCTTAGAGTCTCTGAGAATTGCTTGTAGTGACTTTATCTTAAAGAGCTCACCTGGTGTGTCCTCAGTGTAAACACCACTATGCTGTGGCACCAAGTGGGGGTGACAACCCCTCAAGAGCAAGGCAGAGGTGGCTTTATGTTTGTGGATTATGTTTGCCATTAATTGATTAATCCCTCCCTAGCCGCAGTGGCATCTCGGGGGTACTTTCAGCACCACTTTGTGATGGTCAGTGAGAAATGTCTTCCTTTACTAAGCATTTGCCCAGGCCAACCCAGAGCTGTCTTGAAGTGTACCTGTTACTAAATGCAGGAAATGTCAAAGCCAGCTGCAGTGGGACTTCACATTTTACTGTCCGTGCAGGCTTACACCGTGGTTTCAGTGTGTCCGACCCGAGTGTATAGGGTCTTACCAAATTACATTTTCAGTTTAGTGAAGAACACAACCCCACCTTTACTGACAGTCTTGCTATGGGCCTGTATATCATCTCTCTCTCTGAGTCCTCTCAGTGACCCTTTTGGCAAATATTGCTAAGGTTGCTGTTTCCATTTTTATAGATGAGGACACTGAGGCTCAGAGACTTGCCTGTAGCTGCACGGCTAACAATTGGCAAAGTCCGAATTAGAACACAGTTCCAGTGCCAGGGTCCTGCTTGGCGGTCTCCTTTGTAAAGTAGCTGATGTTCCCCATCAGCCACACAGCATGGCTTGGAAGGAAACACTGTCCGTAAAGCTTACAGCTCAAGGAAAGTTTTCAAGCCAGAGGACAAATTTAGTTTCCAAGCCCATTCTCCTGTTCCTCTTCCAGGCTCCCTCCTACAGAGCACACACACCTGTCCCCCTGCCCCCCATCCCTTCAGTTGTCATTTTCTTGAGGAAATCTTCCTAAAGGAGCGCTTGTCTATCATGGAGGGTACTTAACAACTCAAGGCTAGATTCACCTGTGAAACTGTGGCCTCTCTTACCCTTGTTTATTTGCCAAGCAGATTGTGAAAATGAGAGCTACCCATTTGGAGAGCTCACCATTATCTAACTGCACTCCAGCCTGCTACTGGGGCTCCTATACTGAATTTTGTGTTTTTTCGGGGGCCCAAACTGGTTCTCTAGGCGTAGAGTCCTAAAATTCCAAGTTGCTCTGTACAAGCACCTGTGCTCAGTTCCTGCTGTCCCGGTATGCTAAATTCCTCTGTTGTCAGGGTCCCCTCACTGCTTCCTTCTGCCAGGCCCAGTGCTCTAATAAAGACACCAGCACATCTTAGGGACTATGATTGAAATGACAGCACAACCCAGGGGAGGCAGGGTCTAACTTTTCAGGCCCTCCTTTGTGGGGTTTCTGTGGGAGGCAGAGTAATGAAGAAGAAGTGGGTTCCATCCTCACAGAATGTGCAGTTTGGAGGCCCCAATGTAAGTGCTAAATAGAGGTAGCAGCCAGGCACTGGGAGAGCACAGAGAAGGGACTTTGAAGTTTATCTTTCAAGTTTTTCCCTTGGAGCTCTACCACGATGCCTGCATTCAGGCCCGCATCAGCTCTTACTCATCTAAAGCAATGCAGCAGCCTTCTTATTGATCACTCGGTCTCTGATCTCTTCTCCAAATTGCTTGCAGAATAATCTTCTAAAGCACAGTCTTAGTCAGTTGACTGTTCTCTTTAGAACCTTCTGTAACTCCCCATTGCCTACTGATTAAAGCTTCAGTTCCTTAGCCCGCCATTCGTAGCCCTCCTCAAACCAACCCTAGCCCTGGCCCCATCTCATTTCTCCAGCTTCATCCCCTCTCCCCTTACTTCCCTGAGACCTATGGAATTTCTTGCTATTCTGTGAACACACTCTTTTGCACTCCTTTGAGTTAGCCAGGTTGGATCATTCCTTGTCTGATGCTGGGCTTCTCCCCATAGGACCTCACTTTCTCGTGGGGGAGGCAGACATATGACTGAGGCTGTGACAGAAGAGTGGATACTCTGCTTTAGGGGCCTTAGGGGCCTTCCCTGTTCCTCCCCATGGCCCCAAGTGAGACTCTTCCCTCCTCAGAACCCTCTTTTCACTTTGCTTGTGACTTGCTTATGGGTCTTAGCATTTTCTGTCTGGTTCTGATGAGTTGTGAATGTGCCTCTCTTCCTGCCAGCTAGTGAATTCCTCAGTGATAGGGCCTGCCCACCTTGTCTCTGTATCTGTGGTGCCCAGCACGTCGTTCACACTGGTCAGCCCAAGTCGAACTCATGAACTTTAGGGAGACAGGTACATTTTTTATGCTTGAGGAGAGGGGAGTAGGTGAGACAGGAACATCTTTAGCAATAACTTGTTTTTAGAACAAAAAACTGTAGTGGGACTCTAAGGTTTCATTCAATTTTGTTCATCTGGAAAAAGTCAACATTCTTTATCACTCCCTTGACTAGAAGAAACCCCACACTTGGGGAAATAGCTTCCAAAGCCACGTTCTTCTTGCTTTGGTAATTTTAGCTCATTCAGGGCTCAGGTCCCAGCTTGGCGTTGTCAGTCCAAATAGATCACTTGCTCCAGAAATGCTTTGGAACTTCTACAAAGTTAGCAGTGAAGCAGGGGACTAGTCAATTTTATATGTGAAGATTGTTGCATGTCATCAGTGGGAAACTGCCAACAAAAGGATTTATTTATTTTTTTTAAAGTGAGTGAAAACTTTTAATTTAGGTTTTGACATGTTTTGCTGATATACATTGGAGCAAAGATTAGAACTTGCCTGCTGTCATCTGTTACAGATTCTACTGGAATGTTAACCATCGAAGGTTCAGTCTGATGTGACTTCTCAGTACCCAAGAATCACATATTTGTTACAACTAAATAGTGTGTGCTACAGAGTGC